CCCTCACTCTCCTCTACAACCTCATACCCACAAAACCATCTCTCTCTCCATATACCACAAAACCCGAAACCCTACCCATCTCACCCCTTCTCCGAAAATCAAGCTTCAACAAGCACACCAATGGCACCCAAAAGAGACAGGGCTGAGAGTTCAACTGCAAGGGGACCGATTCCCGGATTTGAGGACGTTCGGTTCAGCCCGGGGAATCAAAGGCAATGGTTCTTGGCTCAAATAAAAAGGCAAGTAATCCCCTCCAAATTTCTATGTCATGATGCTCTCACTGCTTTAGGCCTGTTGAAAAAAAATGCGCAATTTGTTTCATGAGTTGGATATGAACTTGATTTTTGATATGAAGTATAATTGTAATGAAAGGGTGATAATATGAATTCTTGAGCTCGGCTAAGTTTGTTGAACGTGAGGAAGGGGAGGAGTTCAATAACGACACACTCACGTTTCGTTTATTCAACAATGAATACACAATAACGAGACGTGAGTTTGCCCAACATTTTGGCATCCCCGTGGACCATGAGAGGGGAATACCGGAAAATACAATAGATGGCCACACTTTATGGGCTAAAATGACCGAAGAATTGAATGTGAGCGCGTCTAACTTTCCATTAGTCACGTTCAACATCCTATTCTCTGACTTTTCCTAAAGTTTTTGGTCAATTGTTTGCTCGGTCGCCCTAACAACAACCACACTCGGATGGGGGACGTGGCCATCCTCACCCTAGCCCTCTTTCAAATACCCGTGCCATTCAACCTGTGCAACCTAATGTGGGATCATTTGGAGAAAACTTGCAACAAAACGAGTAATATTGTTGTCGGGGGGGGGGGGGGGGGGGGGTCATTATGCATTTGGCCTCCAAATTCGGCTATGTGGATAATGAACCAATAGCCGATCATTGTTTGATGAATTTGACTTGCCTTGGAAATGCGGGGTGCATCTCCTTCGCCCACAAAGACTACAACGGGAGAAACCACTACAAGTGGCATATCCTACCCAAACCAACCATCTACTTCCCCATCCCCTCCAAAGAAATACCTAAACTTAGGTATAGAAGGGCAAGTTTTGAAATCACGCATTACCTACTTCCTAATGCCATACCACCACATTTTCAAGCCCAAGCCGAACAACCCGAACAAATTGAGCATCAAGAAGCCCATGGAAATGCACAACAAGATATTCCCGACCCCCCTCAAAATCCACCACCACAAGACATCCCCAATCCTCCTTACAACCCTCCTACAACCGACTATTTCCAACAACTCTTGGAGGGCCAACAAGCATTACTTGCCGGGTTCAACACAATGAACCTCAACTACACAAACATGGGTGAACAACTTGCACAAGTCCGAGAGGAGCAACGGGCGGGCCTCCAAAGAATGGAAGAGCTACGACAAGCCGACCTCCACCGCTATGAAGAGGACTATCGTAGGACTTATGGTCCTATGTACTCATATATGGCCCATCACGGGAATTTCTCTTCTATGGTCACTCCTCCTCCACCACCGTCTTGGTATGACCCCTCTCAATGGGGTAACTTTGGAGGTTCGAGCTACGGTGGTGGGGGCTATGATGACGGGATGGGAGACGACACTACCATAGGTGAAGGGGGAAATGAGGGCGACACCGGCGGAGGCTTTGGAGGAAGTTTTTACGGTGGTGAAGGCGGGCACTAAGGATAGTGCCTTGATCCAAGTGTGGGGGAGGAAGACTCATTTTTTGGTATGTTAAATTCCCTTTTGTTTTACCTTATACTAAGCATTATTTTCTTGTAATCTTTACACACACACAAACACACACACACACAAAAAGAGGAAATGAATGCTAGTTAGGTTGAAAATCCAAAAACGGGCAATCTAAGCAACAAGGGCTTAAAAAAATGAGTGAGTCGGAAAGGAAGGAAAAACAAAAAGAGATGCTAGGATGAAAATCTGAAAAGGCTCCTAGGCAAAATGAGAGATATTTGAGAGATATATTTGTTGTTGCGGGACATAATCTCTTGAAGAAAAAGAAGAAGAAGAAAGGAGGAAAAAGAGAAGATGAGCATAGAAGGCCATGAAACCCAAGAAGATATTGTTCTTTGAGCTAAACACTCAATGTTAAACTCATATGTTATCCTTGGTAGTCTTTTGCTTTTTCTGGTTGATTGTTAAACTTTTGAGGATTTCGAACTAGTAAACATTTGACTTTACTCGAGGACGAGTAAAGAAGCTAAGTGTGGGTGAGTTGATATTCATGTAATTTCCATATTTATTTCTTTGTTTTTAATTAGTTTTGATTGATTATTACTTTAGAAATTACACACTTTTGGTGTAATAGTTTAATTTGTAAAAATGTTTGTAATTTGTTTAGATTAGATTTATACTGAGCTCAAACAGGTCCAAGATCACTCTAGGGACCATTGGTGAACATTACAAATGGAAGGAAGGTGCAAAAATCTCAAGATTCTGATTTTTGGTGTTGTACCCGGTCGGGTATGACCTATACCCGATCGGGTAAGTCGCTGAAAAAATCGAATCGGATCAACCGGGAACAAGGCAACATGCAGGGGAGATTTTGGCACGATCGAGTGTTCATACCCGATCGGGTGGCCGACATACCCGATCGGGTATGACCCAGTTTTTTATACTTCCGCGAAGCAACCGAGTACCCGATCGAGTGCCCTTACAGCCCGATCGGGTACACGACCCTGCAAGCCTAAAAAGCCTATAAATACCCCTCTTTCCTTCCCACAAAAATAACCAATTTACATATACTCTTTAGCTCAGTTTAGTTAAGTATTTCTTTTATAACTTTAGCATGTTTAGTCTCCAAATGAGGAGCTAAACTCTTCTATCTTGGTTTTGCTACTTTGAAGCTTAATGAATTTGTAAGTTGTGAGTTATTCTCTTTAATTTTCTTCCTTGAATATTAATTCTTCCTTTAAATACTATTTCTATATCAATGTTGGGGAGTGTTACTAAGATGACAATTAGTTAACATCTTGACATTAGTTATAGTAATAGTTATTTCTTCCTTTATGTTAATATTGGGGAGTGTTACTAAGATGACAATTAGTTAACATCTTGATATTAACTATAGTAGGATTCATACTCTTTAATATTCTTCTTTGAGTATTAATTAATTCCTATTCATATTTCATATTAATATTTTGAACATTACTTAAAGGATCAACTAGTTTTGTTTCATATATTAATTATTACTAGAATAAATCGATTGATACGCTTGTTATTAATTCGGTTCCTTCAACGGTAGTAAACTTGGATTATTAATGCATGTGTCTCATGGTTAATAATCTAAGGGGAATTAATTATATTGATTAAGCCGATAAACCGCTTGTGTTGAGGTTATCAATCTCAATCGTTTTCATCTCAAGTTTATTGCTACTATCGTGTTAATATACGGCGCGTGTTCTATATTGACTCGGTAGTAAATTTTATTGATGAACGCGTCTCGTTATTAATAACTACCCTCGATGAACTGGATATACTCCTCGATTGAGTATTCGAGAGGAAGATAGTTAAATATATAACCGGGATCGACGAACATTTGATTAAGTGGATAAAAGCAAAACCAAGTCCTCATCTCTATAAATTAAACTCATATAAGTCGTTCATCTTAGTGTTAATTAAATTAAATCAAATAAAACTTAAAACCCCCTTGTTACTATTTATATAAAAGAAAAGTATTCTTTTCTCTGTGGATACGAACCTTACTTCACTATACTACGTATTAGTGTTGTATTGTAATTATTATTTTGAGTGCACCTCACGACAAAGTGCACGTCACATAACTGACAATATTGTTTAAACATGAGATTAATTATTTATATTTGCTTATACTAGTACTATTCGACTCAATCCGATTTGCTTGTAGCCCTATCTAAGAGTGATCTAATCATCTAAACGTATCAGATCTCACATTTAAGATAACCCGATGTAAGAGTGAAATATTGTAAAATTCAAAAAGTGATTATTATATTATTTCTTTAACTAGGAGTTAATTACTACATCCTGATCGAAGCCATACTGCCATGTCATAACTGACAATCTTGTTTAAACATGGGATTAATTACTCCTAATTTAGAGAAAGTATACAATATACATATTTTAGAATTTACATTATTTAATTTGTACTTCTATTTTGGCTGTATTTTATATCCAACTGTTTTTTTTTTCTTTTAAACATGATAATAATACTACATGTAATACAACAAGAATTTAACATCATTAAAAAATACTACCTCCGTCCCGAAAAGGTTTGCCATATTGACTTTTCTTGGTCAATGATGGTAAACTTTGGACAATGATTTTAACTATAATATTTATATATAACTGATAAATTTTATACTTTTATGAAAATATTTTGAATAAGGAACATTTTGATATAATTTTCATTTTCAAAATAATTACGTATTAAAAAATATAGTTGGTCAAAGTTGATTATCATTGACCAAAAAAGTCAATTCGGGACGGAGGGAGTAACTTTCAAAACTAAAACTAAGAAGAAAAAATAACAAATATGGAGTATATTAAAAGAGTAAATGTAGTGGATAAGAATGTGACATCTTTACATTTTAGCAATTATAGATTTATAGTAGTAATTTCAATGGTCATGATTATGTTTTATGTTATATTGCGATGGCTATAATAATATACACTGACAAAAACTTTAATCATATTTATATACGAAGTATATAAATTTTATTTGGATAATAATTAAAGAATAACTTCAATAAAAATCTCACTATACCACAAAAGGAATACAATTAAAGAAACTCAAAACTGGGGGCCTTTAATATTTGGTGACTTAATGCTACAATGCCACGTAATTCGTCTTGGCCCCAAATTACACAAATAAGTCAACTTAAGATTTAATCAATAATAACTTCAATTACTTTAACAAATTTAGTTAATCTAACCCTATAGACTTTTACTCATACATTTTTGAAACTATATATCCATGCTGAAAGAGTCATACGGTAATGATTAATGAAATAGTCGAGGAAGAGTTTAAGAAATGAAGAATTTATTCTAATTATATCTTTAATTAAGAATGGCAAAAAATCATCTTTCCCTAAATCAGTGCATCTGTGCATATACCATTACTCTTTGTTGAAAACTTGAAACCATAGAGTTTTGGTTGTTTGGTAATGCTTTGGTTTCGTAATCTTTTTTTCTGGGAGAAACCACATTTTAGGTATGGCAACAAACAGTAATCTATGTACTCATTTGCAGTCGTAGCCATTGATGACACGTCATGATTCTGAAAAGTAAAGCGAATCCGAAGAGCTGAGATTTGCCGGCATAGATTCAAGAAAATTGAGCCTTCTTTCATCCTTCTTCTCCCAAGAAGCTTTAGATTGACTCGGCCGACCACCCGACAGCAAAGGTTGCCGTCCGAGGCCCGGAGCTGACTTGCTGTTGTATTACATACTAAAACGAGGGAATGTGGATGATGCAGTTTTAGAGCTACTGTTTGTGGTCTTATGTAGAAAATTCTTTCTGGGTTGTCTTCGATTTTGTTCTTTGGAGCTGTAATGGCTGAGCAAATCTGCTTCTTCACAAAGGTCTGTTCTTTACGATTCTTTCCTGTTTGCCTATGTTCAGATTTTTGTTTTCTGGGTTTTTAGATTTTTTTAGTAGAGCTTCAACGCTAAATTTATTGACAATGTGATGCATTGTGAATTAATTGAAGAGAGGGCCTAGTTTCAGAACTTGATTTACTCTTCTGGTGTACGGACTGAATTTAATACGGACTAGTTACTAGTTCAGTAATATGGTTAAAGCCAATAAAGCATCCTCCCCTGTTATTTATTTTACCTGTTTGTAAATCTTGATCTGCCCAATGTTTGTTCAACTCCTTTGAGAACACTCATAACTTATGGTAATTTGTTAGATTTAACCCTAATCCTGCTTGGCCTGTCTCAAATTCTAAACTACTCCCCAGGAAGAAAAGGAGTATTCAAAGAAATAATAAATTTGAGTGCAATTAAGTAAAATTGATTTGATATCATCTTAAGTCAAATTGATTTATTTGGTTACTTAATATGTTTGGATTACAGGGTGCTCTCATCATAAAACCTCCGAAGAAATCTCCGGCATTCTTTAGGGTGGCACTTGTAGTACTAGCAATGGTGTGTGGTGTTTTTATCTTCTCTGTCTGTCTAAACCAGTTCAAGGCTGACAGAGAAGATAAAGTATTGAATTTTGAAGTTGTAAATAAGCATTGTGATCACCTTGATGTTGATAGATCTCAGATTCCCTATTTACATTACCCAAAGCCAAAAACATTCAGCAGGTATGAATTTGATTGATAAAATTTTGCATGGGTTTCTAATACTAGTATTCATTACTAGTATCATTTATTAGCTTGTGTTGTTGGTGAATGCCAGGGATGAATGTGCCTGTAATCCTGTTCGTCTCTTTGTCATTTTGACAATGCAAAGGACTGGGAGTGGATGGTTTGAGACATTATTGAATAGTCACATGAATGTAAGTTCCAATGGTGAAATATTCTCCATTAAAGATAGGAGGGATAACTTTTCTTCAATTGTGGAGACTCTTGATAGAGTCTACAATCTAGACTGGTTCACTAGTGCATCAAAGAATCAGTGTTCAGCCTCAATTGGTTTCAAATGGATGCTTAATCAGGTAATTGATACAGTATATAAAAGAAATATGTCCGTTGATAACACCTGAGATTTATACGTCTGGGATCCCTGGAATTGGGCCTCTCTGCCCATTGGAAAAAGATTTTTTAGCTTTATCAATTTCATTTTATTAATGATAGAAATAGTAGTTATTTCCTATTAATATTCTTATTGTTATTTCCTAATTTAATTTTCGTCAGCTTCTTATAAAAGTTTTAGGTTTTTCTATTCTAACTAGAGCTCTTGTAATAACTGTATTATGGTCCTCAGTATTGGTAGATAAACTAATTTTAGAACATTTAAAGTCGACGATCCATGGGACAGTTTTTTTTATAACTCCGGGGGTCTGGGGGGTCTGGAGGGGGCTGGAGTAATCAGGGCTGAAACTCACTCCATTGTGCCTAGCGGGTTTCGAACTCGAGACCTCCCACTAGGCTCGGTAACCTCACAATCAGCTGGACTGGAATGCTTGGTTATCCATGGGACAGTTATGTTTACATTTCATTGCTTAAACTGAAGAAAAAGGTGCAATCTTAAGAAGTTTACAAAAAGGGGTCTTCAGAGTAGAATTCAACCATTTGAATTTATAAATATTCCATTATTAATGAATTGGTAACTTGATTGACATAGGAGTAACCCATGTAGTATCCTTTAAGCGTTACTCATAAATTAGTTAGCCATTTTTTAAAATGTAAGTTCAATCTGTAAAGGTTAACCTTATGGGAATAGTAGCACAAATTTAGTTTATATTTTTTGATGGGGGTGACTTAATATGCCTTGCAAGTCATTTTTACGAGTATCCCTTGTTGGAGCCTAATAAGTGAGTCATAGGAGAGGGTAGGGCTGAAGGCCTTATTTAGGAATTTTGGTTGATCTATTTGTCCTGTGTGAGATACTGAGATGGTCTAATAATCTCATCATTAAGCTGCATTTAGTTATCCACTAAGAGTTAATATGATGTACTGTAGCTGTCTGTAATATTAGTAGAATGAAGAGCCCCTATGTTTGTTTCCTACTATTTGTTTAAAGATACTATACTTGATCTTAGCCAAAATGCCGAGAAAGGTATGTTTGTTTCCTACTAAAATTATTGGGAAGGTGTTTAATCTGTGTGTCCTTTCTCATGAATGATGCAGGGTGTGATGGAACACCAAAGAGAGATTGTTGACTACTTGAACGAAAAAGGTGTTTCTGTAATATTTCTTTTCAGAAGAAATCTACTCCGCCGAATGGTTTCATTGCTTGCAAATTCATATGATAGGCACGCAAAACTCTTAAACGGGACCCACAAGTCTCATGTTCACTCACCTGAAGAGGTCTGTTTTTACCACTATCTCAAAAAATACAGAATTCAATTTTCTATACTCTATATCTTGATCTGATGAAACCAATTTCATGTAGGCTGATACTCTTGCAAAGTACAAGCCTTTGATCAATACAGCATCGTTAATGATGGAATTAATGCAAGCCGATTTAGTTGCCAGTGAAGCACTTCAGTACTTCAACAGCACACGCCATATCCTTCTCTACTATGAAGACCTTGTCAGAAACCAGAGTGTAAGAATCACCCATTGACTTGACTCATAGAGAAACCCCAAGACCGTGTTTGTTACCCACAAATTTAACTATTTTCGTATTAACACGCTTAGGGTATGATCGACTTTCATATTATTAACCTATGGTTTCTTATTTGTATAACATCTGTTCAGAAAACTATGGACGTTCTGAAGTTCTTAAGACTGCCACTTGTGCATTTGAGTAGTCGGCAAGTAAAGATACACAGTGGGCCGTTGTGGAAGCATGTCAAGAACTGGGATGATGTTAAAAGGACATTGAAAGGAACTGCTTACGAAGGATTCCTCCATGCTGACTATTAGTTTCATAGGTTGATTACTGGTCAAAAAAAGTGTGCATGATTTAACCATTTTTCTCTCAAGTCTAACAGGTATACATTTCGCCATGTTCCTGGAGGCCCGGGAATCAGTCACTTTCACTATGGTTTGTGGTATCATATAGCATAAAGTTGGGTGTAAGGGAGCTAGCTAATCTGAGAGCAGTAGCAAGTCATAGTCAAGCTAAGTTGTTTATGTAATTAGTGTGCTTCCATTAACACCGAGGTCATGAAATTAAAAGTATAAATATCTAACTTCACTTTCGGTAACAATTTTTGTTGTTGATTTTCCATTTTTTATTTATTTGAGGGGCCAAGTTTGTGAAATTATGTGCATAATAACGAATAGTAACAGTTAGTGGTGATTTTTTAACTTGAGCTGGTGTATAGATTGTGACTTGATTAACAGTTATGAGTGCTTAATGTTGATACTTAAAACAAGGGATGACAAACTCCATAATGCAATGCCATGTGGTTTGACCCTTGCTGGTTCGGGGTTCGGACCGCCCAGTTTTGGGTAGGATAAAGGAGGAGCTGGAACCATAACAGAGGTAGCCGGTTTTGGGTCAGTTCAGTTTGTTCTGAAAGCAGCTTATTCCGGTTCTATTTTAGAGGAACTGGATAGAGTTTTCAACCAAAGTCTGCTGAATCGGAAAACATGGATTCATGACTCATGAGTGCTGTTTGCCCTTCCAGTTCCAAAAGTGTGGCATTAATTGGCACTTTATCCATTATGTGCCCTATCAATCTAAAAGCCACTTCTCGTTTCTCAAAGCTCATCATAGGCCCCTCCTCCTCCAAAGAAGCAGTGTTGGTCTTAGGGATGGACCCGGGCCGGTTCCGGGTCGGGCCTGGGCCCGGGTGGGCTGTTTTTGGGAAAGGGAGAACCGGAACCAGACCGGGTATAAACCGGGTTTGGGCCGGGTCTATGTTTTTTTTTGCTTTCTAATTAACCCCCCTCCCCCCTTCACCCCACCCCCAAACCCCCCAAAACACCCAGCCCTAACCAAGAAAAACAAAAAAAAATTGGAAAAGAAAAGCCCGGCCATACTGGGCTGGTTCAAGAAGTGTGGCCCGAGCCTGGCCCGCCCAACCCGCCCTTACCGGGTAAAAGCCCGGGCCCGGTTAGCACCAACCAGGTCGGTCCGTTCCTGCATGGTAGCGGTAGGGGTGGACTCGGGCCGGGCCACCTGGCCCGGAACCGGACCGGCCTGCTACTGTGCAGGCTCGGATCGGCCCGGTGAACCGGTTGGTGCCCAGTTCGGGCCACCCGGCCCGGTGAGGTAGGCTTGCCGGGCCCAGGCCTGCTAAATAGTGAACCGGCCCGGCCGGTTCGGGCCTTGTCCGGGCCTATTTTTTTTTTGATTTTTTTTTAAGTTTTTGGGTTGGGCTGGGTATGATGATCCATTTGAGGTGGTTTGGGGTGGTTTGGGGGTGAGGGGGGAGGGTTGGGGGTTAATTAGGAAAAGCCAAAAAAATTGAACCGAGGCTCGGCCCGGGTCGGGCGGTTCTGGGCCTCCCCTTTCATGAACCGAGGCCCGGCCGGGCCCAGGCTCGAACCGGGCATGAACCGGAACCGGTCCATCCCTAGGTAGCGGGCCGGTCCGGGCCTGCACACTGCACAGTAGCGGACGGGCTGGTTTTGGGCTGGGTTGAACCGGTTGGGTCCATCCCTAGTTGGTCTTGAGGCTGATTCATTCGTCATTTCGTTTGCGGTTTGCGGGCCGATGACACCACACATTGCGCACCTTCCTCAATTCCTTTTGTTTCCTCAATTCCCAATTTGTAACGCTTTTCTTCACTCTTACGGAATGAAGTATTCCCTCTGTCCCAAAAAGATTGACCAAATTACTTTTCATGGAACAGTGATAAACTTTGATCAATAATACAGAGTATCTTTTAATACAAAATTATTTGAAATATGAAGATTATATGAGCTTATTCTTTATTAAAAAACCTTTAATAAAAGTATAAAATTTATAAATTACACATTAATATAATACATAAAATCGTTGTTTAAACTTTAACATCATTGACCAAGAAAAGTCAAATTGGACAATGACGGAGGTAGTATTTAACAGTAAAATTATGAACTAAGCATTATTATGGATATGAGCACTTTAAAGTTTAAGGTGACACATACAAATCAATTACTCCGTAATAAAATTTTAATCCATTTATTTTCATGGAATAATTATCTAAATCAGGTCAAATAAAAGTTAAAGTGTAGTAATAGTAGCTTGAATGTTTAATTCTGGAAATATGATTAATTAACTGTCTAACAATCTCTCTTCATGTTCTACCATTACTTTATTTTAAGGGAGAACTATCAAATAAACACTCGAACTTTTATAAAAAGTGCAAATAAGCCCATTTACAGGAGGCTTTGTGCAGCTATCGCCATTTGGGGCGGTTTTCGGTGAAATTTTCTGATAGAAATTTTTTATCATTATCTTTATTAAGTATAGTTTAGTCATACCAAATTTCAGCTAAAAATTCAATCGAGAAGGTAGTCAAATGATTTTCTGAAATACACTGCGCTGCCTAACTGCGCAGTTATCTTCAAAAATTCATTTGACTGCCTTCCCGATTGAATGTTTAACTGAAATTTGGTATGCGTAAACTAGACTTAATGAAGAAGATGTTCAAAATATTTCATCAAAAAATTCCACCGGAAACTTCCCTAAATGGCGACGGCCGTACAGAGCCTCATATAAAAGGGCTTATTTGCATTTTTTATGAAAGTTCGAGGGATTATTTGATAGTTCTCCCTTATTTTAATAAGAAAGACATATATTTAATTTATAATAAAAATGAATAAAATAAAAAATATGCTAGTTTTTTTCAATCAGGAAACGTATCATATCATTTATTTTAGAAGTATCATCTTCATGATATTTTCAGGATAAAAGTTCACATTTTCTGACATTTTTAAAGAGTAATAATGTCATATTCAGGACATTATCCATCTTACAATATCAATGAGTATTCTAAACTATAAATGCACTCTTAACCCTATTGACCATAATAAGAGGGTTAAAACTATTGTCTTTGGGTGAATTGAATTACAAGAGTGTCGTTAGATCTTCCATGTGGGTTGCTTTTTATTTAATTTACTTCCTTTTACATAATATTCCTTACCTTTCGATCGATTCCAAAATCAACTTGTATGCTGATATCTTGCTCCCACCAATGATATTAAACACCACATAGACATATATGATGCTAGGGATGGACCGGTTCCGGGTTGGGCCGAGTATCGGGCCGGGTCTGATCAGGTTTTTTTTGGGGAAAGTAAGGCCCGGAATCGGCCCTGATAGCCAGCGGTTCCGGGTTGGGCCGGTCCGATTAAATGTTATTTTTTTCTTTTGATTTTCTAATTAACCCCCGACCCCCCCTATATCCCCCCCCACCCCCCCCACCCCCAATACCTAGCCCTACTCGAGAAAAACAAAAAAAAAATTGAAAAAACAAAAAAAGGCCCGGCTCGGGTCCGACCCGGCCAGGTCGGTTCACTATATTTAAGGCCCGTACCAGGCCCGGCCCAATCCACTGGCCGGGCCTAGGCCCGGAACCGGTTACCCAAGACCGGGCCGGGCCAGGCCAGTTCACAGCCCAGGCGGCTCAGGCCCGGTCCATCCCATATGATGCTTAAAAAGCTATAATTAAAACATTATTAAATGACAATAACTTAATAAGTCTCTCCAAAGACTATTTAGCAATATTACAAGTGTATTTGCTAATTTTATACGATCTCCGTCCCGCTATGATTGTCTCATTTTACCTTATCGGTCTGTCCCACTAAGATTGTCCCGTACCAAATTTGGTAAAGTTTGTGTGGTTCTAAATCATTCTTACTTTATTCTTACTTTATCAAGTCAATATCAATCACATACATCACTTTTTATTGATTTGCGTGTCACTCCATTTTGTCCCATTGTTAGCGGGACAGAGGGAGTACTACATATGTGCTTCTAATTCGATTTTGTATTAATATGTGCTTCTTTTTTTTCAATTTTTTTTGCTTTTCTAGGTTAGGGGGTTGGGTGTTTTGGGGGGGGGGGTTGGGGGGTGGGGGTGAGGGGGGGGGGGGTCGGGTGTTGATTAGAAACAAAAAAAAAAATTGAACTTAACCCGGGCCCGGCCCGGCCCCGTTAGGCCCGGACCCGGTATCAACCCGGGCCGGTTCCGGGCCCAACATTTTGCAAAAAAGCCCGCCCGGGCCCAACATTTTGCAAAAAAGCCCGCCCGGGCCCGGCCCGGAACCGGAACCGGACCGGCCCGGGTCCATCCCTAGTCTAGCAATTACTATATATGTGTTTCTAATTCAATTTTTTTTATCCTGCTTTATATTTTATACAATAAGCACGTATTTGCACATTATCCATGAGACTATTTTTTTTTTATAAAATGCTAATTGCATTCACTATTTGTGCAAGTGACGTAGCTCAACCGCACAACCTCTAAGAGCATCTCGAGTGGGCATGTGGATTGTATAACCCAAAAAGTGGACACATCATTTATGTGAAATAATGTGCGAAGGAATGTTGTGCTGACATGGACAAATAGACACTCAAAATAAAATTTCTCCTCCAACAGGACAGTTTGTTTTCGAAGTTTCACCCCTTATTTAAAATACTCCGTGTTCTTAATGAACCTATTTTTCTATTTGTGCACGTAACTTCATCCCAGCTCCTTCAAGAAAAACTCCGTCCTTGTAGCCTTCTTCTCCAGTCCCCTTCTTTTCCAGTCGGGTAGCCTTCTTCTCCAGTCCGGTAAACAACTATTTAGAATATATCTGTGATTCCATTTCAACTTAATTCCAAATGTCCGAGTGTATAAATTAAAAAAATCTGTTTTTCGGATATAAATTCAAGAATTCAGCCTAAAATTACGCAATTAAAACAAACCAAGCACGGGAAATCAAAGAAGAAAAATTGGAGAAAGAGGACTACCTTCGCTACAGAAATATTAGGCTAGGGCAACTTACACAAAACATAAACGATCTAATTGCTTGATGACTAGGAAAATTTGGACTCCTTAGATCAAACTAGGGATCCAAGGAAATTATTAACTCAAATCATCATGACGTAAAACATTACCAGTAGTTGTGGAGCCTCTTCTCTTTCTGTTTGACGCTAAGAAGACTTTGTATTATTTTTTTACGCAAGAAAAGAGTTTGGGAAGATCCCAATTTGTAGCAATTTGGCCAGTTCCGCGGCAAGTTTTTACACTTGTCGCCCAAACAATTCCGTAAACTAGCCCTAGAAAATGAAGCTGCACAATTAATTTTTCTTAGTCAGCCTGTCTCACGGGCTTTCTGAAATCACATGCCCAACTTCCCAGTGTGGGTTATTTTGTAATCCAACTCACCACCTCACATCCTAAAGACATTTGCACTGGAGACCATATTTTAACATCCTAAAGACA